AATTGTTCTTGATTGGACGAAGATATTTTTAAATTGTAATATGCAATATGCATAATACATTTGGTGTGATAATTTTATCTGCATAATATATTTGTAATGAAATATCAGCTTCCCTACATCCAATTTAATAGCATTTTAATTTTCTTTCATTTTGTTGCATTCTGATAGACCAAGACAATTGTTAAATATCCTTGTATAGACCATAGAGAAAATAATTCTTCTATGAATAGACTAGCTAACCAATTGCACACACGTGGCCCTACGCTTAAAATAATACTCTTGATTAATACGATTGTGGTAATGACGAGAAGGTAAGTTAGTGGTTAGTGCATCACTATTCTATGACAGTATGCTGATTGCAATGGTCGAACATTGGCTAAAACGAGACAAATAGGAGAAAGGAGCTGTCAGTCTACAGTCGCGTACATCATACGCTCTTCTGGAAGACCAAATCGAGACTTCAATGGGTTTATTGAGATTGATCGACAACGTAGTTCCCTATTTGATAAACAACCAATTTGCAACTATGGAAAGATAAAATAGTAAATAAAACACCTTAAATGATACAGAACACAAAACCAGACTCCAGGAAAAATAGTGAAAGACCTGATGGAAGACCAACCAAAATATGAAGAAAAAAAAGAGAATATTTACAGTATATTTAAAATGAATTGCAACTAGTTAATATCCACATTTTGAAGTTTAACCCTGTTTATTTATTGATCATATCTTACTTTTATTTGACAAAAACATCTGACATGCCTAAATAGAGTCATGGTTACATCACATTATTCATGACCTTATATAGGCACATCATGACTATATATGGACAAACAACAGTTTTTTGTCAAACCAAATTTTATAATCTGGATAGTGCATTCATAACGAATCCGAATTTTCGGATTCGAAAGACAACCGAAGCGATCAGAAAATTGATATAGTGTGCGTTCAACAACGTTTCGGAAACGCGGTCCGAATTTCGGTTCGGATCCGATGTGAATACAGCTTTAATCATACCGTATCTGTTTAAACTGGAATCTTACGTCCATATTTTAATATCAGTTTCTTGATCTCTTCCTTAATTAGCCATTTAAGAATATTGGCTTGAAGGTGATCGCCACATCCCACATCCCACATCTTCATTGGTTAAATAATGTAATAACAGTCGTGGCGCTGAGGTGCGACTGTTTCGCCTGTCAGAGAGCCACTGTTCTTTGGAGATACGGCACTTCTTCGCGTTCAGTGGCAAATACACGACAGGCCTCTGTGGCTTGCATATTCTCTTGGGGCCCTATCTTGTGGTGGGGAAAATGCAAAGCGCATAGCAGCCTATCAGTGGCGTATCTAGGAGTCTTGAAATGGGGAGTTGGGGGAGCGAGGTCACATGGGGGGGGCTCGATGATTATGTGAGGTAATAAGGTAATATTACGTGATTTTCAACTATACATCAGTGAAATTTGGGGGTAGGGGTGTGGGACTGGGGCGCGAGTATTTTTGGAGGAGCACCCCCAGATACGCCACTGCAGCTTATAAGTCGCACAATTCGTCGGAGATAAACAAAAATATTTTGTAATTTGTAAAGAATAAAACTTTCATTCCCTAATTTGCCGCAGCTTCCTTGGGCTTCATCCCCTGAACCCCTCTGTAGGATTCTGGGCGGACCCTGTCCTCTCGCCCGGCTTACATATGTTTCAATATAGAATATTTAACTATACTTTATAAGCGTATTACAAATCCAAATTTGACCCTAACCTTTGACACTGTAGGGTCATTTTAACCTTTTTATGTGCATTTAAATTATTATTTATAATAAATATGTTATTTACATGTAAAAATTTATAGTAAACACTTGCATTTTTTCTGAAAATATCCTGCTTAGTTTCCCAAATAAGAGCTTCACCTTTGACCTAATGTTACAGAGAGGTCATTTAGCAAATCAATGTGTGATTTTGATTCCTAGTGGTCATGTGGATGATAATCGTTACAGGCAAAAGAAAATATTTCAGCAATAAAACAAACTTTTGCACTTTGTATGACTGGTCTTGCTCACCGTGTTTACCTTTTAAGAATCTTCAGGCACGAACGAAATAACGACTAAAATCGATGCTTACGTGGGAAATGACTAGGCACATCACGTGTCTATTCATAATGAAAATGCTTTCAAAAAATCCAGCCAAGCACACTAATTGTAATCTAATCTAATGGTATTTCTGAAAGAATGAGATGAATTTCATTGGCGTTCCTATAGCTTGTGTGTTTCGATGCTAGCAGTGCTACCTGAGGTTATTCCGATTCTGTTCGATACCGTAATTATAATTGTTTGTATTGTATATATTTAACCAGCATTATCATTATCGATTTATATTAATTTACTCCGTTTTATAACAATTTGTTTAATAGGCCTATAGTCTCCCGCGTTGTCTGTTTGCAGTGTTCAAATCAATGTTCCTAATGGATCGAAGACTCATTAAAAGCATTCGTCTTATAAACGCGATACTGTATATACAGTACCGTAAAAGCTCTATCGTCATAGGTCAACACTGCTGATGCGATGCGCTCTTCACACATTCTCTTCACGGTCTCAAGCTCAACCGCGCATTTATAGATAAATATAGAGTAAAAGCAAGCATCGTCACTATTTACTTAGCTATGGTCATATGCTCGTATTCCGCAGTAAGAGGTAGGCCTTTTAATTTCTGTTGTGGTGTTTATTCGTTGCTTGATGTTTGCGATCAATTGACGGTCAAAATGACGAGAGACGTTGCTTGTTAGAGAACGGTTATGCACAAAGTTAGCGTAAGTCAATCTCATATTATGTAGGCGCGACTCTTTTATATTGAGATAATAGGACACACGCAAGATATATAGGCCTATATATATATACCGTAGTCTCTTATACACATCTAGATGTGTATAAGAGACAGCAATTCGTCGGGGAGAAAAAAAATGTGTATTTTCTTCATATTAGTAGACTTTAAAGTTGATTAAATAAGCCTTTGAAACCCCTAAATTTTCAAAATGTTCGGGGCTTCTCCCCTTGGAGCACTTTCGAAGCATTTAATCGAAGCTCGACCACGCCCACTTTGCTTTTGTCGGGGAAATCTGACCCTTCGTCGTGGGTGTTGGACCCCCCCCCCCCCCTCCGGCAAAC